TATATATATATATATATATATATATTATGTGTTCATAAATAACGTTTAGTCTGTGACTAAGACCTGAATCTGTTTCTCGAGTCCTCCGATGTCCCCGTACGTCTCCAGAGGTGCCTTCTCTACCTTCATCACTGAAATCAACGGGTCCACCTCGTCGCTCAGAATTCCCACAATGCTGCTCGTCTGAACACACACAACACCACTATAATGCTGCCACATGCAGCTGCTGCTGCCACTGGTGATGCTGTTCCTGGTACTGCGCTGCAGCAGCCAACGAGAATAGACTCTCAACGAACCTTTCGATGGCCCGGCAGCAGCAACAGAGAAGCAGCATTGAGGCACAGAAGCCATCACGAGAAAGAAATAGTCGAGATGAAAACAACAATTTTATGGCAAAGCCTTAAGTCCCCTCCCCCCATATCTGGATCCCTTGCCCAACAGCTTCGCTCACCAAAAAAAGATGGTGACAGGAAAGGAGCAGCGTTGCGCCATCTCCCCGAGTATTGTTTGTCTACTTGCACTTACCTTGTTGTGCAGCAGCACCGAACAGCCGGGCTCCAGGAGGTCTTTGTCAACGAACGACAAAATGTTGACATAGTACTCGGGGCCAATTGAAGAGCTCACGATGGCGTGTTGGTCATCTATCAGCTCCTCCAGGGTCCCCACGCTCAAGGGCGACCCCCTCAGCTCATCCACACGAGAGACTTCTTCCTAAATACAGACCAACAAAGCAAAACAAAACAACCAAAGAATGAATGCAATGCACCGGAACGACCTCCAGATACAACAACAAGCCAGCCTGACGAACCAGACAGACTCATAACAAACACCCCACCTTCCCCGCCCCAAATGAGATAAACAACAAGACGAAAAAAGCGCAGACTTCGTGCAAACAACATAAATTTAAGAAAAAAAAAAGCTCCGACTAGATGTCCAGGCGAAAACGGCAAACAAGTTCAGCAATACCACGCTTCCCAAAGAACAGAAATACCCTACTTCGTTGCGCTCCTCTGCTGGCTTGTGCTGCTCCTGGTTGCTGATGTACTGCGCGAAAGAAAAATTGCAAGAAAGAAGACACCAAACGAAAAGACAAACGTGAAAGACGGCCTTCCAACATAATCCGCAGCGCCACCCCTGTTCGCAGCTCCCCAGCGCGGTGTACAGACAACGTAACAGTGCGCCGCTCAAGGCGGACGTAAGCGGGGCAACTTGCTCTCCACTTTGGAATGCTCAAAGCAGCTTTCCTATGCAAAGAAAAAAAGGATGGGATCAGCTGAACCGCCCCACCTCCTCCTCCAACAAGAGGTAATCCTTGACGCGTTCTAACTTCAGAAGCCGCATTCGGCATTTAGTAACGGGCGTCACTGCGTCGAATTAATTAAAAGGATACACACAAAAGGAAAAAAGGGAGACATCAGAGGGGCAGATGCACAGACATGCACCGTATGGGATGTCCTTCTGTACACCTCAAGACATTGCGATATATCCCCGTCAGCACTGTTAGTCCTTTTCGCGCTTTTAATGTTTTTTTACCATTTGGCAGTTTCGTAGCGCCGATGGCGCCCTTAGGCTTCTTGCGGCGGCCGACGTGCGAAGGTGGTGCCGCTTCAAGGGGTTTCTTTTCCTTCTTCTTGTCTTTCTTGTCATCTAAAAGGCACAACAACACAGATACCATGGATGCATTCATATGGCTGGGATTATCTCTGTTAGGATCTGTTTACAGACCCCAATATTCACTCATGCAAACCAACAACCGGGCGGGGGCTGCAGCTAAATTGCCTCCTTTCTCGTAGCAGCGCCCTGACAGCTGAGGCCCTGCTTCAGAACATTCAATATTCCGATGCACCAAATATCGGCTCAAATCCCTGAAATCATCTGGCGTATGTTGCATATGGTTCGGCATGTGTTTTGAGGCCTCCCGGCATTCTGGGGCCTAAACGAAGGAGCCCTGCAGTGTATGTGCAGCTGGTAGACGCACCGCTGCCTCCTGGATGTCCAGGGAGGTTAAAACCCCCATGAGCATTCCCCATTTTGCTAAATATCAGCGGCGCCAGAGCTGCAGGCCGGCGTCCGCTGCTGCAGACGTTCTTGGGTGTCTGTGCAGACACTGAATCTGATACTTTTGCTGCGGCACACGAGTTAAAGAAGTGCTGAAGTAGATTCAGCAAGTTAGGAAAAGAAGAGCGACAAACTATGCGCTGAACGCAGCTAAGAAGCAACGGCCAGCGGAGCGGCGCCTTCTTGCTGCTCCCCCTGCTGCTGCAGTTGCGCTGCAGCTGCCTGAAAGTGTTCCTCCTTTTGTTTGCTTCAATTAAATAAGAGAGACTGCAACACAGACACTGCCTTGCTGCTGATAGTGACTCGCTTCAACTCGCTCAGCCCCTAAACAACAACACGTAGCGGTAGGGGGCTGCTGCCGACACGCCGATGCATGTGGCTGTTCGGAGGGGCCAAAAAGCCCCAATGTAGTGCCAAAAGAATTTGTTTAATTGTTTAACACTCATTTCTTGTCTTTCCTTCTCTTTTGGCGGAAAAACAAATGCCTGAAACGCCATTTTAATGGGGACACACAATAGCCAGCAGATGTTGATGCCCATGAACTTTTAACTGCTGCCTTCAGGCCTCCTCCTGCTCCAAAAAATGCCAGAGTAAACTTCAACAGCTCAGTGTACAGACAGGCCCCTTCATATTTTGAGCTTTCCTTCCAAGGTTGATCCCTTAACGGGGCCTCCCCGTTGTTTTCGTGCTCGTGTGGGAGGCTTCACGTCGGTGAGAAGCAACAGGGGACCTGATGAAAAAAAAATGGAGCTTTAAATGCATCAGAATGAGCTGAACGGTTGAAGTTGCTTAGTAGAGGTGCATTTTAGGGTTTAGGGCCTCCCCTTTGGCAGTTTTGCGCACTTCGAATATGGAGTGGTTCCGACTGTCCTGCCGGCGTTTGTTCGCCACTTCTTACGCCAAAAGTTCTTATCATGAAGGAAGCATCAATCCTTTTGCAGATGTGCAATGGTAAGTAAGCACTTAAAACCGCTTCAGCAGGTCAACTGTTACTAGACTCCAAGTGGTGGCTGGGTGCCGCTAGTGGGATCTGCGTGCAACGTGCGGCTAGAAGCGTCCCGTTTCTTATTTCCCGTTTCCGGCTCATCTCTTTTTGTTCTTTGCGTCTCTCTGTTCAGGATTGCGAGGCCTTTTATGAAGCGAAATATGCCTAGAGATCATGTGCTTGCAAAGCCACACCGAAGTTTAAAAGCCGTAACGATGTTAGATGAGGAAACCCGTAACCACTGGCACATTATTGACGCCAAAGGGAAGGTAAGTGTCCCTGCAGTGTTTGCGATCTGAAAGTGCTGGTTAAATAGCCAGTTTACATCTAACAATTTTTCTCCCAAGTGCTTCACATATTTTACCTTCGTCTTGTTTCCTGCGTTTTCCCTCTAACCTCCAGAGCGTCGGCGGCTTGGCAGCGCAGATCTGTCGGCTGCTACAGGGGAAGCACCGCGTGGACTATTCGCCTTTGAAAGTTTCAGGCGACTCTGTGGTGGTTGTGAACGCAATTCACGTGAAGTTTTCAGGCCACACATGGGACACGAAGGTTTACAAATTTCCGCGGAAGAGTGAGGGAGCTGCAGATTTTTCCTTCCCTTCTCCTGTCTTTTGTATCGACTATCTCTCCAGATTGCTGAGTGCGGTTTTCTGCAACTGTTCTTGTGTTTTTGCTTGCTGTTGCAGCCCATCCTGGCGGCCCCAAGGTGTTGACGGCGAAGACAATAATGGCGCGCAACCCTTCTATGATTGTGAGTTGCCTTGTTTCTTTGTTCCGTCCGTTGCTCTTTCTTTACTCTCCGTTTGTGCGAATGCGTATCTATTGACAATTGTTTGGCGTCTCTTCATACTGTCTTTATTCCTTTACGCCTGTGCGTGGGTGGCATTCAGCTTAACCTAGCAGTAAAGCGGATGTTACCAAACAACCGTCTGCGGCAGCTATTCTACAGGTAAGCAAAACCAGCTGGGGCAACAGCCTCCTCACTGTCGTGCTTTGCCTCTTTTGAGATGCTGCACAAACAAGTGCGCCTGCAGCAGCTAGTCATCTGTACGAACACGTACTGTAGACTGCAGGAAAACCAGATTGGAAACAGATTCTCTTGAGGCTGTCATCAGCTAGCTGACAGTCGCTGTAAGCGACTTTGTAGTTTCCTTTTTTTCTTGCTCTTACTTGTTGTTTGTTGTTTGTTGTTTGTTGTTTGTTGTTGTTACTGTTTCCCTCATTGCTCTTTTCTTGTCCTGTTTGTCTGTTTATCCTGTTACATATGCTGCATGCGTGAGCTGCATTGCGCAGGAAGCTGTTTGTCTACCCAGGGGCCATCCATCCCCACTGGCAGCTGCCCCAGGTGGTGGTGCCTGCCGTGCCGCCTCCTGAGGCCCCCAACTGTCCCTTCTCCGTAAAGCTAGCTTCTCCAGAAGAAGCGGCCCGAAGAATTAAAGCACTCAGTGACCTGCAAGCCTCCGTTGTGGCGGAGGTGCACAGCTAGTGAGGCGCACGTACACCTCGCAACGCCGTGCGGTTTTAAAACATCTGGGAGGTGTTTGCTGTATCTTAGCACTTTATTTGAAATCCTTCTTGTATCTTTTGGGTGTCGTAGTCCGTTGGAAATTGAAAAGGCAGCGACTGAAGCAGTAGTGGGGTTGCTGTTCTTGCCGCAGCTCCACCCACTTCCACTAGGAGACAGTCACCAGCCCTCAGATATTCCGCTACAGGATCACAAAGTAAATAGTTGAGGCTAGTACCCAGGCCAATTCAACTGCATCCAATACCCACATAGCCCACACCAGAAACATGAACCGTTCCCGCCCTACGTGTCGCAGGCCCAGCTTGCCTGAGGCTTGTTAGCGGCTGAAACGCACGGACGATGTGTTTATACCTGTTCTTACTACCGTGTGCATGTCATTAGGCCGCTGCAAGCATCCTCTGTGTTCGCTCAGCGGGCCTACTGGGCCATATGAGTTCCTGTTCAAGTTTCCGTCCCAGTTCCTGTTTAGACTTCTGATTGTTTTGAGGACAATTGTATCCGGTTTGATCGGAGGAGAAGGCACTTTTCACAGTGACACTGGATGCAAAGTTTCAGAGACATGTACTTGCGTGGTCCGCTGGTCCAGTGGGGTCACCTGAACAGTGCCATTTGGCACCGTTGCTTGGCGAAAAGGAGCAACAGAAAGTTGGGGGCGTCAAAATTGCTGTATTATCTGTATTTAAATTGAAAACTGCGTCAATGCGAAGGAAGACACAGATACACAAACGATGAATGTCGAGTTGCTCATCAACTTCACAAAGGAACGCCGGGTCGGCTGCACTTTAGAAAGGCCAGTTGAGCAAATTTAATCGTGAAATATTGAAACAATAAACGCAAGGAACTAAATTTTACCTTCTATTCCTGTGTTGTGGCCCGTATTTAGTTCACGAGCTAACGACGACCCACATGTGCGGAGGGCGTTCGCATAAGCCGCTATGACCAGAAAGAAACCTTCATTGTATGTGTTCCATTTTGTGGTACTTCCTGTTACATGAAAGTTAAAGGCTACCTTGTATATCTCTCTTATAACACAGTGGGGCGAATTTAGAGGTTATTTCTGTGCAGAAACCGGTGGGAGCTTGGTCTTGGGGTTGATGTGGTGTTTCATTTCATCAGACCGCACACCGAAGACAACCACTTAAAAGAGATCTCGGGTACATTTGTTGAACTATTGAGTTGTTGGCTTTGGCATTTTATTGTAAAACTCCCCGTGGCTCGCAAATTGACTCGGCCGCTCTGCCCTGCCGCTGCCGCCTGCGGCCTTCCGTGCTGTACAAGGATACAGCGCTATTTCGGCTGTGTTTATTTTACTGGAATTGCATTGAAAAGCGTTTTCTGAGCGGTTACAAGGGAGCGCATGTCTTGAAGATCAAGAAACGCCCTTCGGCCCAGCTGTTCGGTGGTTGGCTGGTGTTGTCGTCTAATATACTCGTGGAAGCGCCTGTCTACCTGTCCACCCCAATTCGTCTTCTTGTTTTGCAAAGGATGTTTACATTCGTCGGTCACCAGTTCGTTGCGGCGGTCTGCTGAGCCGAAATTGCAAACAAAGAAGGGAGAAGAGTGCCTCAGAGGGGTAACACAACTTTAAAATGCGACATTGTGTCCGAAGTCCCGTTATAATTGATTTTCGCTCCTCCTATTTGCAGTCTGAGTCTTACGCAGCCTCTCGTATCTCATTCGTTGAGGTGTATGAGCATCTTCTGCAATCAGTTGCCTTGAAGTCTCCGTCTGATAGCCAAATGTCGTTCTCCGTTTGCAGAGATCAGTTAACACACAAGTTCAAAGTGGAAGTATAAATGCGTATATTGCTGTTTATGCGTACGCAGAAACACAACAAGGGTTTCTTCTCTGTTGTTTGTGAGTGCTTCAGCTGCCGCAGTTATCCTTAATGTCATCTGCGGGTTGCCTGTACAGTTCAAACTACCCTGTGCCTGTCGGGGGTTTAAAGATGGGGAGAGCAACAGAGTTTCCTCCTCCTTTGCATTACTCTGTTGCTGCAACTCCTGACTTGTCGGCAGGAAGTGAGCACAGAGGAGCTTTCCGCTGCACTACTTCTTCTTGCTCTCCTGATGCTGTTTCTGCATCTGTTGATGGAGAGGAGGGGTCACGTTTTCTTGGAGAAGTGACGTTTAATCCCCCCGTTGGGATGGCTGCTGGTGTGCGTGCTCACCAGCAGCGGGGAGATCAGCAGGAGCAATCGGAGCAGCAGGAGCAACCACGAATTCATATGTGCTTCTCTGGGCTGCCAGTGGGGGGGCTTCGTCTGTTTGCGGTATCTTACCTTGCGTATGCTGCCCTATACTTTACTAGGAAGCCATTTTCCGTAGTAAAGGAGGAACTGACGAGGGAGTTGGGGGTTTCTACTTTCTTGCTGGGGTGTATAGACACCTCGTTCTTGAGTTGCTATGCCCTTGGCCAGCTGTGCTGCCCATTGTTTATATCCAAGTTGTCTGCCTCCCAGTCCGGAATGCTGCTAAGCAGCTGCTTCCTGCTTTCCTGTTGCTGCTGCTTCGCCTCCGGCTGCTGTTCATCTGCTGCCTCTCTTCTGTTCTTCTGGGGTTTTAATGGAGTTGCCCAGGCTCCGGCTTTTCCTCTTTTTCTTGCTCTCCTTGGCGGCCACACAAGCAGTGCAAACAGAGGAAGGCTTCTCTTCTCGTGGACAACATCTCAACAATTCGGTATAAATTCAAATCCTCCTCTCTTCCTTTCACTTTTTCTTCTTTTTCTTCTTCTCATTCTTGTTCGTCCTCTTCCTCTTCCTGCTGCCACACCTGCTGCTTCACATGTTACTGCTTGTGCTGCTGGTGGTCGCCTTGCTGCTGCTGTTGGACACCCTGCTAGATTTGCTGCTGTTGCTTGCCATGCTGCTGCTGTTTGACGCACTGCTGTTCCTTGCCCTGCTGCTGCTGCATGTGTAGGGGGGATACTGGCAACGCTCTTCTGCTCTTCGGTAGAGTGGGGGTGCGGCTGGCGCTGCTGCTTTCTGCTATCTGCTGTCGTGTGTTGCTGTGGAGGTCTTTTGCAGCAGATGTTGCTGCATAAAACCCTTGTTAATACCGCTGCTGTCTCTGCTTCTCGTTGCACTCTCCTCGACAGACAAGCCGACACAGAAAAGGCAGCGCATGCAGTATTAGCCACTTCCAAAGTGGCTCCCGCAGAAAAAGCCGCAGCAGAGCTAAAACCGGCACCACCAAATGCAGCAGACGCACAGATTGATGAAGGGGGGGGCGTCTTTGCTGCTGCACAGATGCCGGAAGATGTTGGCCTCTGTGAGCCCGCCGACAGCAACAGCACCTCTCTCTTCCTGTTCGATGAAGCAGCTCCTGGAGCAGGAACAGCAGCAGCAGCAGCAACAGCAGCAGACCAGGGCGGCTTGAAGGAAAGACTTCGGCTTGCAGGGACTTCCGTGTTGGGCGACCCTGTGCCCGTGCGTTCTGTCGAGTTGACGTTTCGTGTTTTGGTGTTGTGTTGTTCTTGTGCTTATTTCAGCGTCAAGTTTGTTCGATATACTCTCGTATTTTGGCTCCCCTTCTTCCTCTGCAGGCAGGCACAGCTCTCCGTTGCTGCTGCAGGTCTTTCTTCTGTTGCCTTCGATTTAGGGGGAGCTGCAGGGGCTGTTCTTACGGGGCTTGCAGGAGACAGACTCTGCAAAGGTCATCTGCTGCTTTTTGCATGCAATTCAAAAGTTATTTTCCGTTGTTTTCTTGCTCCACTTATTTCGACACTTCTGGTGGTTTTGTCCGATTCTCGTTGCCTGTTCTCTTTAGTGTTTTGCCCTCCAATTTACTTATTTGCTGTTCTCTTTCTCTCTTTCATTGGTTGCTCGTTTGGTTGTTTTAGTTTTCGTGAAAACGGAAAGAATGAGTGGAACACAATAAAACAGTTAATTGGAAGAATAATCAAAACTAGTTGATTGCCACAATAATTAACGAATCAATTGGGACAATAAATAAATAGTTGAATTATTTCAACTATTTTGATTGGTTAGGGTTGATTGGTTTGTGTTTGGTTATATTTGTTTCGGTGCTTCCCTTTTATTATTCTCTTCACTATTTTCTATTTTTATTCTCCGTTTGTCTTCCTGCACTTATGGCCGCTCCCACGATAGTAGAACAAAATCCGGCAACAGCACTTCATCCGAGACGCACGACGCATTGCTAATTGGCTGTCAACTGCCAAAACAATGCCCGCTAGATAATATTACAGCAGTATGCCTGACAGCCCTGGTTTGCTGCTCGCTTTTGTCTGCTTGCCTCCTCAGGGCGGCGTCTGAGTCTGGCGGCTGCCCTGTGTGCAGCAACGGGTATTGCACTGTTTTTTGTGCAGTTCTCAGCCCAGAGAATGGTGGATATTCGCCTGGCAGAGGACGATCTTCAGCTGTACAGACAGCTCAGCCTGCTGCACCTCCAGAAACGGTTGCAAGAAAGCTTTACACAACTGAATGAGCGCTACGACTTCGACCTGTCCGTTTCCGAGACAAATCGGAAATCTAAACTCAAAATAAAGCTCGCAGAACGCGAAGATATTCTTTTTCTTACACCTGAAGAAGCGGAAGACAACGATCCAACCATGGTGCAGGGCAACAGCAGCAGCAACAGTAACAGCGACAGCAGCAACAATCGAATGCCAGCTGCAGATACTCGCCGTTTATCGTCCGCCAACGGCCACAGTAATCATCAGCAACGACCCATTAAGTCCTCCATATACACCTTCCAACTAAAAGCGAAGAGACAGCAGCAGCAGCAGCAGCAGCCAGACAGGCATAACAAATGCACAGACAGCATAAACCTGCAGGAAGGGACCCTCCCAGCACACTCAGGTAATGGCCCTCTCTTTGTTGCAGCTGTTGCCGGTGTGGCTGCAGTTGTAAGTGCTGCTAGAGTGGCTGCTGCCGATCAACAGAAGTTGCTGCAGAGCGCCTTTATAAATCAGTTATTGTGTGTTCGTGTGTGGGTCGGATGAACCCGAAGCAACTGCTTTTCAGAGCCAACAGGAGCAGCAGCAGCATCAGCACCGGGAAGGACGACTGCAGCAGCAGCAGGAGGTGCGGCGCCTGCAGTCGATTCTGCCTCTGCATTTTGTCTTTAAAGATCCTCCTCTTCCTCCTGATGAAAACAACAGCAAACGCCCCAAGACCGTCAAGCACGGAGGTCTACGCATCGATACTGCTGCAGCATCAGACAATGCAGCAACAACAACATCAACACCAGCAGCAACACCCGTAGCTACAGCAACACGTGCTGCAGCCGACATTTCAGTTGTTCCCGAAAGGTCAACATCCACAGCAGCAGAAACAGTAGCAGCCTTCACCACAAAGGGAGCAGCAGCAACCGCATCAGAAAATGCACCAGCAGCATCAGAAGATGCATCAGCATCATCAGAAGCTTCAGAAACATCAGCAACAGGAGGACAGAATCATGAGGACTACCCGGTGGCGACGCTGAGTGCAAGAGAGGAGGAAGCTGTGTTGGCGTTGCTGCAGCAGCAGTCTGTGTCGAAGACAGAGTTGCATTTAGAGTTAACAGCGAAGAGCGCAGCCTTAGAGATGCAGGCGCGCAGCAACTTATTGCTGCTGCTGAGTTGCATGCTGCTAGTGGGGCTTTTGAATGCTGGACCCGATGCAATATTAGGAGCTGCTGCAGCGCAAGATCTTCTTGAGTTATCTGATGTCCCTTTGCGTAATTGCGCCGCCATAGCTGCTTTTATCAATGCCGTTGGGGCAGTCGGAGCTCTTCTACAGGTGCTGGCACACAAACCCTAAACCCTATACCCCAGATAAGAAGGGCTCCTCTGCAAAACCCAACACAAGGCAGGGAATGGGGACCGAGCCGTTTAGGGTCTAGCAGGGCTAGCATTTAGTGCTTAAGGGATGGGGAATATGTATATGTTAGAGTGTTTTAGAGCTTCCACCATGATTTATGGCCTAGGGTTTAGAATTGAGGGTTTGCCTAGCACGGTGAGGCGAGTGTATTTTGTGAGCCTCCACTTGAGTCCAAAGAGTTGAACGAATTGCTGTGCTAGTTTTTTGTTCGAATTCTATTTTTCTAAAAACTCTCTATCCTACGTTTCTTGCATTGTCGGTGCTGCGGTATCTGCAGAGTGTATGTACAGCTGCTGTTAGCGAGGCCTACGGGTGGCCTGTCTTGTTTGGGGTATTGAGTCTATTGTCTCTCCTCACGTCTTTTGTACTTCTCCCCGCAGTGTTGAAAGAAAAACAAAAACGAGCTTACAGATAACAGGCAGAAACAGCCCGGTAAACAGGCCAAGGCTGTAGCAGCAGCAGGAGGAGAAGAAGCAACAGAAACAGCAGGGGCAGCAACACCAACACCAGCATCAACAACAGCACCCGCAGCAGCAACAGCAGCAGGACTCGTGCGCTGAGGAAGATAGACAAGACAGGGGGGAAATAAATCTAACAACACTGCAAGACCAACACAAGCAGAAATAAGCGAACGAATGAAGTAAAAAGAAAAGCAGCCTGGAGGCAATAATGTCCTTCTGAGGCATCATGAATAAACTCTAAGCCCTAATCCTTGCAAGTGCATAAAATGGGACTCCTCCTATGTTTGTCCTCAGCTTGTCAGTGTTGTTTATGTTTGTGTGAGGCTCTGTTTAACGAACCTATGGGCAGAATAAACAACGCGATACAAAACAGACACTTGGAGGCCGGAAAACCCGAAACCCCGACTGATCTTTTCTCATCTGCTGATGGTTTCTCTTGAGGGTTTACGTTCAGCCTCAACTCCTAAATGTGCCCCTCAATCTCTCTTAACGAGCCCACGAGATCGGTCAGTGGGTCTGGATTTGGAGGGTCAGGGGCCCCCACCTCATGACGTATTTAAGTGTACACACTTAAGTATACATATGCACTGCCTTGTGAATTGACTTTACATTTTGTGTTTTCTGCCCAATTTCGAGACGGGATAGGTTCGACTGAGCCTTTAGCTGTATGTATACTACGCCTGCGCATGGGAGCCAACGACCTTCCCTAAACAGCGGAGAGGGGGGCGTCAGCTAGGCAATAAGGAGGATCTCATTTTAAAGAAATTGTACAAGTTCCCCTTTTAATTCTTTCAATTGAAATAGAAGTGCAAAAAGCGCCTCTAAGTGCCATATGTTCCAATGGACCCTTTTCTGTCCTGAAGGCGAGCTTGCGTGCGAAAACTGCGGACAGAGCCTCTGGAAGCGTGATTATGAAACTACGACTTTCCCCTTTATTTCCTACAAAAGGCAATTAAATTACACTTTAAATATACCAGAAGAATTAAATTCGGCAACTTCGATCTTTAGGGCCTCATGCTGGCGGCCTTCCACAGTCCGCCGGTTGGTGTGTCTTGCTGTCGGTCTCCTGTCTGCCTTGCGCGACGATTCTAAGCGTTTAGTGGAAAATCTTCCCCTTTTCATTTTACGGAAACTCATTTGCTGTTTAAAACCAAGGGAGGAGAGCTCTTGAAGCGCAGAAGGTGTACATTCGCCGCTTCCCTGCTCAGGCAGCACCCCTGTATAGATGGTGGGCTGTCCGTTCGTTTCAGCTTCGAGATGCGTTGAAATTTGATTGTATTTGAATTTTTCTTCTTTTTCCTGTTTTTTAAATGTAAGTGCAATGAAGCGTACATTCAGCGCGAGGCTTCTGCCTCGAGGCGTGTGGTTTGGTGTTGCATCTGGGTGTGTGTATTTTTCGCTGCTTGTCTCTGTCTTAAGAACTGCTGCATCTGAGTCTGCAGCAGGCAAGAGTGTTAATGATGAGACAATGGGTGATTCGGTGTTTGAATCTTCATCTTCTGAAGGTTTATCTCAGTACCGCAAAGTGGGCACTCAACTCGTGGGTCTGTGGCGGCAGTACACCGCCGCCAGCGCGGCGTTGGGCCATCTGCTTCGGGATTACAACGTAACCCTGCGACAGGAGCAGCGGGTGGAGTTGGTAGAGCTGTTGCAGCGGAAGCAAAAAGCCGCAGCAGCAGCCCTGAAGCAGCAGCAGCAGCAGCAAAGAGGGAGGGGATCTCGAGCGAGGGCCATGTTGCCGCTTTGGTCTGGGGAGAAAGCGAGTTTGAACGAAATAAAAGAACAGATAAAGCGTTTAGATGAAAAGATGGGGAGCATACCCGACTACAGACAGACGGAGAAAAACGCATTTCTTGTTCGCCTAGGTACTTCGCCTGTCAACGTTTCCAAGGCCTTGACGGCCCCTTTTTCTTCTCTCTTCCACACAGCGCTTAGTTCCTACAAAACCCACCTCCACGATCTTAAGAAAAAGTATGACGCCCTCTTTTCCACCTTGGAGCAAATCAAATATGCTGCCGCTGCGGCCCACGAACGGCGCGAGTTTATCGGAAAAACCGCAGAACTTGAAAGCTTGTTCGACCCAGATGCACCAACTACACTGAAATTCCCTAAAACTCAATAGAAAAGTGTTGATGTATTCCATCATATATATTCACTGATGCTTCGGTTGTACCACAGCAACTGTATGCACAGCCCAAATTGATCACTTGTCCGCCTCCCCCTAGATGTGGAAAGCAGGCGGCTGAGCAAGGAGGCGACGCGGGTTGTACTTAAAGCGCAACCCAAGCATAAACAGACTATTTCATTTGATTGTTTATATATTGTTCAAATCCCTTATTTATTTATTGGATTGTTCTTCTGCTCTTTTCTCGCTGGGGTGCCTCCCTCTGAGGACAAGGCCGGCTGCCTGTTCGGATCGAAGGATTGTCAATGTGGCGAATTTCTTCACGACTTCACACCTCTCGTTCTCCAACTAAATATCAAACAAAACAAAGAAATAAAAATAAAGAGGTGAATAAGCGAACAAACAAACAATCCAACAAAACAAATAAAGAGAACAAATTAGCATTAGCAAACAAATGCATTAAACAATCCATTACCAATACACGCATGTATCTTTCGTTTGTCTCCCCTTTGGCGTTCCTGCCCACACAATGAGGCCCCAAGCAGCATGAGCAACAGCACAACGAACAGCAGCAGGAACACAAGCAGAAGTAGCCGCAGGAACAGCAGCAAGACAGCCGGAGGTGTTGATGGTGCATGTGTGCGTGTGAGGTTGCCTTTTGGTAGTGGGCGAGAAGCATGCGGGCAGTTGGGGCAAGAGTTCCTTCAGCAGCAGGAGAAACAGCAGCTACAGGACTAGAGACGAGTCGCCAGCGCAGTTGTTCAATTCCCTGCAGCTTTAGAGCCCCCACAAGGACGGCCATCAACCCAAAGACCCCTAAGAAGAACTCGCGGGGTTCAAAGCCTGCTGGGCCGACTACTTCGTGGGGTGGCTCGCGCTGAAAATCTTCTCTTGTCTTCATGTTGCTAACCTCCTCCTCTTCTCCCTTTTTTTTCTCCAGCAAGTCGGAAAATCGAGGCATCAAATACTCAAACAAGGAACTCAGGGCGTTCAACGCATCCAGCATAATCGCCACGGGCTGTTGCTGCTCCTTCTGCTGCTGCACTTGCTGCTTCTCTAGGACTTGCACTTGTTGCTTCTGTTCCTGGTCGTGCTTAGTGGGGGTTTCGTTGGTTTTGGGGTCTAGAAGCAGCTCGGCGAGGCTGAAGAGCAACAGCGACGTGTTGAGGGCCTTCTCTGCAGGGTCTCTTGCGGAACTGTCTACTGGCAAAGAGGAATTTTGATCTAAAAGCACCACAAGCACACGGCAAACAAAGGGCAAACCCAAAATGTAACGAACACACTTCACTTGCCACGTGTTTGCTACGCATAGCTTTCTGCAAAGGACCTCGCAGAGGTAGGAAGGGCATGGGGAGAAATGACTGGTTGGCCAGCTAACCGAGTAACTACGTGGCTAACTGGTTAACAAGCTGGTGAGACAACCGAGTAGCTACATAGCTAATTAGCTAATTTCTGTGTTATCTGGCTGCCGAGATGGTTAGGTGGTTGCATGAATAGCCCTCCAGATAGCTTCAAGCATAGCCATTTGCCTGTCCAGCCAGCCAGCTGGACGGCCAGTTTGCTAGCTAGCTACATCAGCACGACGGCCTGGTACCTGGAATGCTATCGCCGTTCGGTGGAACGTTTCGTTGGCTGTCTTTGTCTTTTAATGCTTCCGATCGATCTGCCGGGTGTACCTGCAGCAGTGCGGTGTGTAGGCATATGGCTATGCGCCAGCAAGTTTCGCGGCAGAGGTTCATCAGCACTTTTCTTTCTTCGTCTTTAGCTCTGAGGACGAGCGCTATAAAAACCCGCAGCAGACTCGAAGCTCCTCCTAGATCCAAAAGCTTTGCAGCCGCGGGAGAGTTACTGGGATCGAGCAAATCCAGCAACAGTTGCTACAAAAATGATACCACAAAAACAATTTAAATTGCAACAACTGCAGGAGATAGAATGATTATGATCATAGAAACGCCGATAACAATAATAACAAAACCAGCAGCAAAGATATCAACGAGAACAGCAACAGCATTGTATAAATAGCAACGCCAATTACCGTAGAGAAATAATAGTAACACAGCAGCAACAAAAACACGAGTGAGCGTAACAATAATAATAACAAAATAATAATAATAATAATAATAATAATAATACTGGAAACAATAATAATACTGGTAAGAATAACAGCAGTAACAAAAGTAGTAACAACCACAAAGACAGTTAGATGGATACCGAAAACAGCAAGGTGTCTGCAGTTGTTTGTAGCGGGAAAATTTTGACTAGTTGCTAGGACAGAGAACGCCTAGCGCTGACATCTTATTGCTGAAGCAAACTGCAAGGTTTATATACACCTCACAGTAAGCAGAAAGGAGTTAGCAGACAGAATAGACTCTCCTTGGTGGGCATCTTCGTATGCCCAGGAACACAGCAGTAAAACCCAAGAAAGACTCTCCAAGGTGTTATCAGCCAGGCTCTCCTTCGACTCTCCTATGCATACACGCATATATGAGCAGCAACTAGAATGAGGATAAATGTACAAACGAAAAACAAGGTCTTTATGAGCCAGTTGCAGCAACAGCTTGAGGTATGTGCCAGGCTCCTCAGGCACAGTATTGGGAAATATGTCATTTTTGGGATGTTTTGGGTCCACAATCTCTCGTGCATCTCTTGAGGAGTTGCAAACAGCTCACCGGCAGCCTTCTTTGTTGCCTTCAGCAGCTGCACCAGGAATTGCGGGAGACCCCCTCGAATAAGAGACAGACAAATTTGGCGTTTAGCCTCAGCAGAGCGTATCACTCCTAGTTCGTCTCGCCTTCTCAGCAGCTTCAATAGGCGGCGATCAAACTCGCAGCAACTGCACGGACACCTGAATGAGAATATGAAGCATACGAAGAAATGGGGGCAGAATAGCAAACCCAAGTGCTGCAAGAAAAAGGAGAAAGAGTTATGCAACAACAACAACAAAAGAGTACGGGAAAATAGCAGCAAGTGAGAAAACCCAAAAATCAACCAGAAGAAACAACAAACAAGAGGGACAGGATCACCAATCCCCTCAACAAGAAAGAACACCGCTTCCCTTTGCAGCTCAACGCTGCTTTGTTGCTTGAGGCGGCGTTGCTGCTGCGTTGCTGTTTTGCTGCTGTATTGGGGGCCAGCCGTTCGTACCTTTCTTCCCGGCAAGCAAATGTTGCTGAAGACCAGCAAAGAGCAGCGCGAACAGCCCTCCTGCTGATGGACGGGCCGATGCCGAAGGCAGCAACAGCTGCTGTTGTCCGCAACTGCAAAACAATAATAATGAGGCCGTATCCTCTGCTTGTGTCTATTGTTGGATGCTCCTTGGTGGTTCTATGGTTTGTTTTGCATGTTTGCCATTTGGTTTTACTTCTTAGCTATTTATTTCGCATCAATTTGTCTATGGTATGCACATCATTTATTTCTTTGACTGCCCTTTTGCCGATTTAGTTCCGACAGACAACGTTGTCAACGGTCGCCTAGCTGGCAACTTAGTTTCCCCTTCCACAAGAAGAGTGATTAAGGGACCTCTGCCGGTGCATGTCTACAACTACGTATATTGTTCTATACATGATACTGTATATATTGCTGAAGGCAATGCTCTATAGAGCGCTAGATACAATGTTGCACACAATGCTGTGTGTAATGCTGGATATAATGCTGTGCATACACGCAGCGCACTTGAAGGCTGATAAGTTCGGGCTGAGGAGGCGACGAGGAAGACAGCATATCGCACAGACCGTTTAGAAATTCGGAGCAACGAACGCGAGAAAAACAAAATGCCATTTGGGACACCTGAAAATGCAGGCCACCAGCAATACAAAAAAGCACAGTACAAAACAATATAAAGGCATTAGCTCTAATCCCCAGGCAATAAACGCAAAACAATACGTAGTAAACCCTAAATAGTACACAATAGCAGATCAACCCTCTGCAGTGAACCCTAAACAGAATGCCATAAACAGCAAGCAATAAGGATTCAACAGTGGGCAACAACCAACGGACAATAAATTGTAAACCCTAAACACTAACTCCGAAGAACGTCTTACCACTCGATGTGGGGGAAATGTCCTGAGAGCTGCATGTAGAATTCTGAGGGCCGTGACTTTGAGTTGCATTTGTTTTTCACGTGCCGTTAAGTGTTCTTGCACACTCTTGCCTTTGTCTTGAAGTTCGTTTTCTGTTTCTTCTTCTGCTGCTTCTGTGCTGCCTCGCGAAGCTGTGCTGGGTGGAGACATAGATGGAGGCGTTTGCACGGGGAGTGGAAAGGCGTTAAAAGCAAGAAAAGCAGAAAGAAACAGCTGCATGTGCTGCAGCTGTGCGTCCAGCCAATTGATGTCGACGTAAAAGGAATGTCGTTCCGACAAAAAGTAATTCAACACAGACACAACCCCCATGTCGTCGTCAAAAGGATCAACCTCCATCACTGAAAATAGCTGATACACCTGACACACACACACACACACACACACACACACACACACACACACACACACACATATGTTGGCTATCGCCGCGTGTTTTTTGAAAATTTACATATGTATGTGCGCTAGTGTATGCATATGCGCACATACCTACAAGGTTCTTTCACTAATAAGAAGATCCATAAATATATGCATACATGTGCATATGCATAAGGTCTGCACGTGTGAGTGCAAATGCTAGATGCAAGTGGCAGTAAAACGCGAGTATCCGCAGGTAATGCACATGATTCAAATGCATATCGTTCACTTTGCGTGTATGCCGTTGAGGAAATGATTCAAAAATGCATATTATTACATTGTATTATATTGTCATGTACTTTTCTGCACATGACAAATGTGTCTATGCTGTGTAAAGTCCGCCGACGCATGCAATTCGTGGTGCCGTACTCCCAAAATACGTTCTAATGCAGCGCAGCTGGCATTTAAGCTATTTTCTTTTAGTATCTTGCAAAACAATTGGTGGACTCCGCATTCGAAAAATACTTCGGCTACTTGAATATGTTTGCGAGCGATGAGCTGCTGCATTTGCATCTTCTCTTTTCTGGCTTCCTGTTGGCCTTTGCGAGTTTCCGCCCCTTCTTTGTGGTCACGTAGAGCCTCCTCTCTAGCCGTTTGCAGCTCTGCTTCAATAGAATCGGCCAAAAGATGCACATGACCCTCCCATAAATCCCCTAACGCAAACAGCTCATCGGCAGCCGATAGCAGACACCGCACGTCCGCTGCGAACTCGGCTCGACGCGGCGGTCTGGAGTATATTCCAGGCATCCTTTCTCCAGTAAGAGACGTCGGAGTCGGAAAGTGACTATTTCAATGCGAAAAACACAAGGTCACTCAAGCCTACACGCATTTCATGCATGGGTGGGTTGCGTGTTGTTGCTGCACTGGGCATATAATATCGCCGCGAAGCGCCTCTTTTACAGCCCCACCTCCATTAAATCCACACCTATAGATGAAGTAAGTCCTTATTCTGTTCAGTTTTGCATTTTAGCCTTGCGGAGATTCAAAAATCTGGTCATTAGGTGTAGGTCGTTGTTGCAGGAGCAGCGCGGAGACGTGGTGGCAGCTTCGTTGCCTCGACAGCAAACCGCGCACAAAGAAAGAAAAGCCAACTTGGGAGCAATTACCTCACACTTTGCAAATTTTGCCTCAAATTTGGGTTTATTTTGTTTTTGAACATAACTAAATGTACTTTAATAACGGAATAAGGAGAAAACTGGCAGAAAATTGCCGCAGGAAGATGCGCGATGACCGGCGGCAAACCGACTTTTGTCGTCGGTGCTCGCGTGTGCAAGTTGGCGACTCCCATCGGAGGACAATCAGAAGGAAACAGAAACCAAAGTATTTCTTTACAAAAACTGTTAAAAAGGATTATATTCATGTATTTCAATTGCGTAAAGACCCTTTAAGTCTCAAAATACCAACTAGGACCGCAGATTGGTTCGCAGAAGTGCCTTTTGCCGGTGTTGCCCGTCTTCCTGCAGTTCTGCACGAGCAGCGGCGTTTGCTGATTTGAGTCTAACTTTAAGTCTCGATTAACCACACATTAAAAGACTAACAGAAATAGGTACAGTGTTATATATCTGTAAATGCGAATTGATGGGCGGGTGCCTTGGCACTGCTTCAATCTGCTGCACCGTTGTGCTAGCCGCGTACTGCATCAGATATGTATTTATTTCCTACTTTTTCTTGCCTGTTTGATTGTTTTCGCTTGTTTTTGTAGTTAACATCTTGTTGATCGTCGTTGTTCTGTTTGCTATTGTTTAGAGTTGCTTGTGCCAACTAGACGTTGGCGATGCTGTCCAAGTGATAAAAAAACACTGAAAAGAGGCAACAGGGTTCTTCCTTCTTCCCTCTCCTTAGTTCAAAATTCCCATTTTCAAAATTCGTTTGTCATGTATGCTATAGTTTTGTATTTCAAATTTTTTGCGCATGGCGTGCAGTGTTTAAAAGTGGCAGCCTTCAAGCAAATCTATCCACCCGACCCCATCCACACCCCACCCATCCCCCCAACCCAGGAAGCTCCGTTGAACAAATTCCCTGTAACTCAAAACGCAGAAGTCCACACACAAGCAACCGGCAGCATCACGAACAACAGCACCATCGCCACCACCAACGGCAGCAGTAACACTTAGCAGCTGCAACAGTAGTCGCTGCAGCAGCTGCTGCAACATAAGAATTAGCAGCACCAAAAGTAAAGGCAAATAGCTCTTGTTGCCGATGAATTTGTTTCATGCTGCGCATCGACGCTTCGAGGAAATCCTGAAGGTCTATTTACACGAGAAGGGGGGAGGGCTTTGTCGCAGTAAGCCAGCAGGGATGTCGCTGCAGCCCAGCAGTGAGATGTAGTTGAATCGACGTTTCTTGGACTTGTTTGGGATTTCCAATTAAGTGTATGCAGCGTCTGTGTATAGAGACTCAGCAATAGAGCTCCTCCGTGCTAAAATTGCCGCCAAGGAATGAATGAAGGAGGGCGAGTGTCAGGCCTGCTTCAACTATCCGTCTTCAATACTGCATTTACTGCTACTATTAGTGTTGTTTTCGTCTTTATTGCCTTTGTCATTGGTTGGAATGCTACTGCTGTTGTCCTCACTGAAGAATGACACTATTCGTATCCTGAGTTTTACAACGGGTTGGCCTCTGCTGACGAGATTTTTTTGAAACATCTTTTGAGTTTAATCCAACGGTTAAGCTGAATTATTTTATTTTTCCTCGTGTGTTTAATGGCCTTTGCATGTGCGTGTTTAGGGTATTACGGCTGTACCTTGCTTCGTTCCTCACCGTTTTCTGCGATGTACTGGCGTAGCATCCGGCGGTTGCAGATATCCTAGAGCGACATGTAGCAAAGGTAGGCACGAAAGGCCACAGGCTAAGAAAATAGGATGGGGAGGCATGGGAAGAACTGCAGCACAATCGAGATCTTCTTGTCTCTCTGGAACCGTTGAGGGAACGACAAACACAAAACAGAAAAACAAACAAACAACTCAAAAGGAACTTGAGTAAAATAGAGAGAGTCAATAAACCAGATTCTGTGAATCCCCGCGCGTTTATGTCGACGGCGAGGGGGGTTGGTGTTTTTGTCCTTTGATTGCATCAACAATGGGTAACAACGGACAGTTAATTCCTTTATATGCTTCTATTCGTTCCCTTCTAGAATTTTAAATATGGAGGGCTCCTCTTTCAAGTCATTGAATGTCGTCTTTCCAGTGTTCTGTGATGTGAGACAGTCGATCACCCGTCTACGGAACTGTTGTGCAGTTGCAGCCGAAAGAGATGAAATATAAAAATCAAGCCAATAACTTCCAGCTGTGATTGAACCGTCTAATGTTTACGTATTTAGCTGTACCTCTGCAGATACAAGCATGCATCCTTGCATGTCGACGTATTCCTACACACACATCTTAGCCGCTGCGCAGGTTAATAATATCATCATCTGCCGGGACTTTGGGTGAAAATGAAGTTTATAATTTAAATTGTAGGTCATTTAGGGTATCTTGCTTGCAACGCAAGTAACAGAAGACAGCAGGACGGAAGGGGGGATGGGGGGCCCTGCTGCCGCTCGCCGGCGATTGGGGGGCCCACGGGAGATAGTTTCCATCGGCGTTTGAGGTGAAAGCCTTTTTGAATGGGAAAGGAAGCCGAAGACAAGTCACATGGTTTAATTTCGGTATGTTTTCCGTTCGAAGTCTTCAGCGCTCTGTAATGAAGGGAGCAGAAGCCACAAGTCGTCAGTGCTCTGCGGGAATGGCCAGAAAGGGCAGATCTCAGGGCAAAAGCAGCAGCTACAACAGCAGCATCAGCAGGAGCAGCTGCAATAACAACATCAGCCTCTTTTACCTCCCCCTGGGTCCCACTGAAAGACTTTCTTGAGGGCCGAAACCTCGGTAGCGGCGGCGGCAGCAGCAGAAGCAGCAAAATGCACGGCAGAAGACGTGACCAGCTCCCTGTCCTCTCAAAAGAGAAGCAGGAGGAGCAGCGCCAAAAGATTCGTATGGCCTTTGATTTGCTGCAGCGCCTCCTCAGTCAGCGATCTGCAGGCGTACGTACCCCCGACGTCCTGCCGGCAACACGCAAACTCCTTGAATTCCACCCCGAACTTGCGACTGTTTGGAATTACCGAAAAGAAATTCTCAGCAAACTCATCATCCTCGCGCATCAACAATTAAGTGCCACTGGGACTACAGGCAGCAGCAGCAACAACAACAACAACTGCAACACAAACAACGACAGCAGCAACAGTAGAATTAGCAGCAATAACAATAGCAGCGACAACAACAGCAACAGCAGCACCCACAGCAGCAGCAGTGGTAGTACTGTTGGCGTGGCACAGGCGGATGAGGTGCTTGTGTGTGGCTTGCTGCAAGGTGAGTTGCAGTTTACAGCTTCTTTGTTAGCAAGAGGAAACAGCAAGTCCTACTGTCTATGGCTGCACCGCGTTTGGGTGCTGGCGCGGCTGTTGGAACTGCAGTTGCAGCCCCTTCTGACATACCTCAAACAAAATGACTCCGTTGTTCTTGAGCAGCAGCAGTACGAGCAGCACCACGAGCAGGAGAATGCGCACCAGAACGAGCAGCAGCACGAGCAGCAGCAGCGGGACCTGAGTGGTGATGCATCATCGAGCCTGGAAGAAGGCATATCGTTGTTGCAGTTGGAGTTAAGCGCATGCGATATGTTGCTGAAGCAGCATGACAACCGAAATTTTCACTGTTGGCATCACCGAACAATGACCACCGTTTGGCTGGCTGCCCTAGAGACGCTTAAAGAGAAGCTCTTCAAGACACAGCAGCATCAACAGCACCAAGCATGGAGCAAGCCAAGTCCGAAGACCCTAAATCCTAAGCCCCTTCTGCCTGGCTATCAGAAATGCGGCGCCCAATACCGCAGGGACAACAGTAGCAACTGATGCCGAGACAAAAACCGTGCAATGAAAAGGAGCAGCAGGTTCCAATGTTGCTGTTGTATGATGAAGTGCATGTGCGTGTGTGTGCATGCACTTTTTCAGTTATTTTGTAGTGTTTGGGCCTGCGCGGTTGTTGCTTCTGTTGTTTTCTGTGCTTTTGCAGGCCTTTTGTTGAGCGGTGGCGGCTCCTTTGCGTTGGGGGGGCTTTGCTTGTCTTTGATTGAAAATGACCTCTCGAATTATTCTGCCTGGCACTTCCGCCGTCTCCTTGAAGGGCCCTCGAACCCTGAAGAAGAGCTTAACCTCCTCTGGAAGGTCCTTCGGAAAAACCACGGAGTGCCTGCCTCTGTGGTTACCTCTCACCCCTTGTTTGTGTCTCACTGTGTTTCTTTGTGTCTCCTTTAGGCCTGTGCAGTGGTGCCGCCGTCGTTGTGCTTGCTTGGTGTGTTCTCTGGTTTTATTCATTCTATATCTGTTTCTTCCGCTTTGTTGGCCTATTTGTTGCATTGTCTCTGTTTGATTGTTATGCTTTTCTTGTTTGTTTGTTGACCTTTGTTATTTGTCTAGCTGGTTTACTGCATGCAGTAGTGTGTTGTTGTGTGTGTTTGATCCTTTCCAGTTGCTGGCGAGTGTATTTTGTTCGTCTGTTGCATTTCTTACTCATTTGCTTGTTACAGTTTTATTTCTATGTTTGTTGAATTTTATGCATTTGTTCGTTGCATGTGTCATTCGTTCGTTTGTTGCATTTCTTGTGGTTGTCCGGCTGTTATGCCACTTCTTTGTTTGTTGCACTTCTTTTGTGTGGTAGTTTGTTCGTTCGCTTAGTTTTTTGTTGCTGGTGTGTTGGATTTCCTTGATTTGTTAGTTTGTTGCAATGATCCTTTTCGTTTGTTGTAGTTGTTGCACTCTTCGATTGTTGCGATGGGCTGCTTCAGGGGCTGTACACCGACCCGGGTGACCAAAGTCTGTGGCAGTCGTACGACCGCCTTCTGTCGATAACCCGGAACCAGCTGGAGACTTATTTGTTGTCTGTGCGTTTCGCCGCCCCCTCAGGAGGCCTGCCTGCTTCGATTTTTTTCTTCTTCCGCCTGCCCTGCGCCTTATGCCCCCGGGGCTCGCAACTGCTGCTGCACTTACCCAGTAAGGAGCAAAAGCTTGCAGACGTCATCGCCACCACCAGCACAGGCTGCTGGTGCTGGTGCTGCAACAATGCCTGCAGCTGCTGCTGAACTGGCAAGACAAGCGCACTGCACGTTGCCTGCACTAGGGTGTACAGAAACCCCACCCTCTTGCTGCCACTACACGCCCTTGCCTACCTCTTCACGACCAGCTCCCATGCAGTTGGAGCCACGAAGACACCCGGCAACGGCCGTTTTGTGCTGCTGCTGCAGATACATCCGAACAAATTCTGCTCCAAGGACACTGGAAGCCTCTGGGGTCGCTACATGTGTTGCGCGTCAGCACCGGCAGCCCGCGGTACTATTCAACAATCACGGCCGGCAAGGAAAAATAATATATGTTTATTGATAATAAGAGCAGTATTCAGCAATAGCAATAGGGCACAATCGTAATAGGTAACACTTTCGCTGCATATAGCTCTCCTCTCTACTAGTGAGAGGCGGTCTGCACTTCAATTGTGTAGATATGACATTTTAAGTGAATGCCTGCCTGTTGGTGCTGCTGCTTCTGTTGCACCTGTGATTGTTTGTTTGCCGCTTCAGTCCGGATCTGGATGGCCCTGCTTTGTCTCCAGTGTGGCAGTTTGTGCTGCAACCCCCCGATGCTTCTGGCTCGTCCACTTCTTCTACAACTGCAGACCCTTTCTACGGTGCAGGAGACGTCCGCCTCTTCGCGCATTTGGCGCTGACGGCCTATGGGGGGCCCGCAGCGGACGGGGGCGAAGGCATAGACGAATTTTACCTCCAGCGGCTGTTCTTAGCAGCACCCAAACTGCGAGCGCTACTGGGGAACCCAGAAGCGGACTGTGATGACGATACTGCTGCTTCTGAAGCGGCAGAGACAGCCATAGGTCAACGAGGAAAGGAGGTGACGAAAGAAGTTCAGCAGCCAATGCTCCCCTGGGTGTGCTACGCCATTAAGCCGAATACCACTGGGAGCAGCAGCAGCTGCTGCAGCAATGAGGCATTTGCACGGCGGCAATCGGAAGAAGGTATGAGCCGCCCATGGGCTATAACGAGCTCTGTCTTTTCCAGGGGGTGTCGCTGCTGCTGCCGAGACGGTTCAGGGTTAGGTGTATGGGCAGCAGAACCGCAACCTGGCGAGTCATCCGGGGACGCAGCTGAGGCAGCTGCAGCAGCGGGGTCCACACTGCCTCCGCATATATCGCGAGGAGTGGCGGAGGAGGAGTTGCGGCGGGTTGACGAGTTCTTGGCAGAGGAACCGAAGTGCTGCGATGCGTATTTGGTGAAGTCCGTTTTTGTCACAACTACAGTAAATGTGGACAGTATTTGCTGTCTCTATGGGCCTGTCGAGCCCAATGTGTGTGACTTGAAGTACATTGACAGCAGACGTTGAGAGCTACTGATTGCACAGCACAAAAGTAAACGCAATGATTGGAGCGGCGTGGGAAATCTGCAGCTGCTGAGCTGCTGTTGCTGCCGCTGCTTTTCGTGTGCTGCTGGGGGTTTTAGGTCGCGATTGCTGCGAGCGCTTAGGCCTCACGATTTTCCTTCCCTCTGGGAATGTATCCTCCATTTAAAGGACTGCGAAGGAATAAACCCATGGAAGTATATACAAGAGGAGCAGGCGTGCTTTGTGAGGTAAGGACGCAGCAGCGCAAGCGCCAGCAGCACTATGTGCAGCAACAGCAACAGCAGTAGCAGTGGCCAGCCTCTCTGACTGTGCTATTGGTCTGCGACAAATTCGGGGTCGGGGGGATGTCCAATCATTACATACAAGGAATTATTGTAGATGTTTTAGGGTTTAAGGAGAAGGTTTAATACCTTCTCGAGGCAATCTGGAGTTTGTTTTGCCGTCCAGGCAACGGGTGTTCGAGTGTCTCCTAAGTGCCGATGCTGGTTTGAAAATTAGCAAGACAGATGTAGAAGGGACAGGAACAAATAAGACAGAAACAAATAAGAGAGAAGTGACCGCGTTGAAGACCAGCTTACGAGAAGGGCCTCTAAATACGACAAGCATGCATGAGGCGACAGATACAAGGGCGGGGGATTTGCTACTATCTGGAGGGGGAATCGAGCGGCTCCCCTACCCACTGCTTCTGGAGGCGACGAATGCTGAAAGACTCTTTTTGTCCTTTAATTGCTTAGAAGACTCGTCAGTCGCAACACAAATCTTAGGCTTGTTCGCTAGCTGTCGTCTCCTCTGTTTTTGTAGTTTGTTTGGCTGCTTGTCTTTGTGTTGATGTATTTGCTTTCTGTCAGTTTGCACCTTCGAGCAAACTTTCCCCGCTTCTGTTGCGTCTGCCTTGCAGGGCGATGCTGGATTGGCATGTGCCGTATTTACCTTTTCTCCGCGAGTTGTCTGTCGACAACACATCGATTTCTCGCCTTTCCCTTTTGCTGTTCTCCGTTGCTGAGCTGCCACGACTTGAAAGGTAAGCATCTGTTTGCAATAGAAATTGTGCAGTATTTGAGATAATGGGATAGCAACGGGAGAAAAATTCTGCTCGGTCCGTGTTTCGAGTGGTACTTCACCTATATTTTGTTTACCCGATTGGACCAAAATGTGAATTATGAGGGAGAAGCATGCATGCTTGTGGACTTATATTGTGTTTATATTCTCAGAGTTAATGCTGCACGCACGAAACTCCTTCCGGTGGAAGACGATCCCGCGCTCGATCTTGAGGGACTGAAAACCGCCCTTTGCAACTCAGTGCTTAAGTAGGCGTTTCCTTCTGTTGTTTTACTTTCCTAATACAACTGACAAATAAATGCTCAATATCAGTAGAGACTGTCTATTATCAGTTGGAGTTTTACTTTGCATCTAATATTCACTTGGAAAGCACTAAATGTCAATAAATGGTTCCTTCCGTTTCCAAATATTTAGAATAAGCTCATAAACTTCCTCATAAACAGCGTCCATTTACCGATTTCCTTGGGAGAAAATTGCTGGTGGACTGCCGCCCTCACGGTTTCTACGTTAATTGCAGTCAACATGATATGACGCATCGTGTGTGAAGGCCTAGAAAGGCACAACTTGAGTTTGTCTAGACACTGGCTTTTCTTTTGCTCGCAGTCCCTTCGGCTCTAGAGTGTTGCTTTTCTGGCACTCTCATCCCTCACCTTCTCTGCCGACTATATCCATACCTATGCATACACGCCGGATTAATTTTTCTACAGCTTTCATTGTTTTCCCTGTGCATATAATGTGTATGGATGCGTATATGCTTGGTGACGGCTTCCGGCACCTTGTTGCGAAAAGCTGGCCGGCAATCGTCTGGAGTCCACAGGGTGGCGTGTTGTACCTTCTGCATGTTAATTCTGTTTATTTCTCCCCGCAGGTGTATAGACATTTCGCACTCCCCTCTCGCTGCCTCTTTGTCCCCCAGCTCCCTCATATGTCGCTGTTTACGGCCAGACTTCCGGCGGGGCCCTGAAGGGATGCGTTGTCTTTTGATTCGTGGAGATGCTTAGCGTAGTACAAGACAAACGTAATGTATGGCTATTGGTAATACAAATATGTGCATCGTGGAAATGTTATAGTGCCGACCCAATATGTGCCTTTTGGAGGCTAAGAAATGCCACGCGACTCTTACCCCGCCACATATCAGCAGCACTTGAATTTGACAGCAACTGCCAAACTCGGGGGTGGCAGCCGCCGGTCGCTGCGGGGGCACCACAAGTCTTTGCATCACGTGTGCAACAGTAAACCTCAACCCTGAACGACTCAAGCGCCTGAGCTGCTTGTGTTCCTTTATCCTAATACTGATTTCTATCGAGCTATATTGCGCCCTGTATTTTTGAGGGCCGCTATCGGCCAGGCGCCTTTGGGTGTCGGTATTCAGCAGGCACCGCCAACCAGAACTTGCCTCCTATATATTTAAGAAAATATAGATCGACACACGAGACGACGTGCGAATGAAAGACATTAGGACAGAGCGTTAAGAGTTTATTGCAGTAGAGGAACGTGCACGAAAACGGAACGCACTTAAGCGCGCGGAGCTTTCCTGCTTGGCCACCGCTGGGTCCGCTAATTAGACAAGTGCTGTTTTCGTGCGAATTGCACCACCATGTAATTTGGTTTTGTGTTCTATTGAATCGGGTGTGTATGCTGTTTACTTTCTCTTGGAGAGTTTGCTGCGCACAGCCTGGGCTCTCTGCTTCCTCGCCACCATCACCTTAAACCGCTCGAAGTCTGTCAACGCCGCCCGGCGCTGCTTCGCAATGCGCCTTTTGCCCCATGCGGTTTCGTTGAACTTTGAAATCACGTCGTCCTTTTCTAATGCCTTCTTCAGCGTAACAGAGCGGACACCATGAGGAATCTTTAGACGCATGTCTGTCAGCGCCACACGCCGAATGGGCATGGCCTGGCGCTTCACTCTGAAAAAAGTAACACAAAGAAAAACCGGTGTAGGGAACAATAACAACGATATATAGGATTTCTCATTGCGCAGAAAATGAAGAAACAGTGTACATACTCAGCTCGAAGAAAAAATGCACTCATACACTTGTAAACCTTTCCGCCCCGGCCGTGACACAGCAACCCCGTACACATTTTATTATACATTTTATTTTATTTTTCTGACTGTTGACAATTGACTGTTGTTTATACTGGCTCAATCGGGAAGGTTAACAATGCATGGACATGCCTTGAACCCCCCGCAGCGGTAAAGTGCTGAAGTCGCTGAACTTACCCTGTGACGCCGGCGCCATCAACGAGGACGCGGTTGAGGTTGATGATGTCGACAACGAAGCAAAGCTGAAAACACCAAAAGTCACAAACACGGAAACTAACGATTCATTTACAAAGACGAAAGCGCAAATCGAGCTAACGGCCCCAATGGACTCCTCTACCCACTTCATTTCAGTAGGAATGCGCTGACACATTGATGCGGCGAATAGTTCGTACCACTACACAAAAACGCGAATACGATGCCCAAGGCACAAACTCAACAGGCAAAACAAACTTATACTTAAACCGCAAATATGCGCAAACCCCCAAAAATCTAAAAGGGGAGTAGCGTCCCCTTATCCCATTTCCCAGAAAAAAAAGGGCAGAGCATATGGTTGTCAAAGCTGGACGCCTAGAAGTCTCAAACCAATTTTCTCGACAACTGCCTCTTAAGGATAAAGGCGTGAAGTTGAACGATTCTATTGCTGCAGTGCTGGTATCTTCTCACCGCGCGATGCGAGTAGGGCGCACCGCAAGAAGCAGAGACCAGAGGGTCTATAAACGACAAGAAGATTCCGGGAGACAGTAATTCCATTAAAAAAATCAATCAGGCATGAGAATGAAATAAAGGGTCAAAAAAAAAAAAAAAAGGAATACGGGCCCCCAATAAGCCCCCCACACTCACCAACGTCGTTGCCACGGTCAACAACACACAGCAAATCGAAAAGGAGCACAAAGCACATTGAAGATAAAAGAGGTCCTGGAAAGATGCAAACTACGGGAAAGAATGAAAGAAGAAGTGAGACTCTCTAGTTGCTCCGCTCACCTTGCCTTCGTCAGGACCATACTGCACCACGCACAGGCGGCCAGGCTCAATGAACCTCCTAAAGAGCGCCATTTCCGCCTTTCTCTGTTTTCTAACAACAAATGGAGGTAAAATAATCAGCCGCCGGCAGTTTTGAGCTCGCTGCTCTTTGCAGCCTACACAAACATGTCAACGGCAGCTCCCCCGGTCTCCCCCCAACAGCAGCAATTCCTGACATACCGAAGCCCCGTGCATGCAGCCCCACGGGGCAAAACAGCCAGTATCCATACAGAGTAATCCAATCTATTCTTCTCAGTACTGAGGATTTACAGTTGCCAAGACAGTAATTATTCTTTGTGTCAACGTCAGCTCAACAGTAGTAGGTGTGCTTCACATTTGCCTCGCAGCAACTCCACCACGCCTTCGTGTGACGTGTAGTGTAGTGTAGCTGTGGTGTACGCGCACTAGAATAAAGCTCAAGTGGCAACATTAGAGGTCTAATTTCACGAAAGGGAACAACGGGGAATAGAACTGGTGCTGGAAGAAGATAACCCGCATCTGCTGTATGAGGTTAGCGCGGTTGTGGATGTAACACCAATACATCGCCAAGATAAGCTATAGGATTCTGACACAACAACGGTGTAAGGGTTGCAGGTGGGCGTTGGTATCATCTCGATGTAGCTGGGGCTCCTTAAAGCCAAGAAGCATAGCACTTGGTCCGAATGGCTGCATAACTGAGCGGCAATACTTCTTTTATCAGCCCTAGGTAGCTAAACGGATCCGATGAAACCTTACTTCAAAGTCAAGAGTAGAAGAATATTGAGATACCCATAACACTTTTGAAATACTTTGAATAGGGGGCATTGGCATATCAGAAGCTAACGTAAGATCATTCATGGCCTTGTAATTAATATCCATACTTAACCTCCCCTTCACCTGAATCGAGATAATACCAACTCCTACCTGCAAACCGTACACCATTGTTGTGTCGGAATATGCCTTATCTTGGCGATGTAGTGGCGCGACATCCACAGCCACGCTACCTTCGTACAACAGGTGCGGACTATCTTTTTACAGCACCAGTGATTCAACGTTTCGAACCTGCGAAGCTGAATGTCACGTACTAGGGACGTATGATTACTGCAAACCGCATTAAGCCCGCTGCAAACAAGATAGAAGCAATACGGGGATGGCTTATATCTGGAGAACAACACGCAAACACGGCAATTCGCCGGCACTGTAAATTTGTGTCGCATTCCAGACGACCTGATTGCGCTGAAGTTGACGGACAACTTGTCAACTTTTCTTGTAAGAGCCTCCGCTATCAGTGGGCAGAGGCTGCCCCAAAGCGGAGGGGTGCAGAAACTCAGGCAGCGTTTAATGGGTTATACCGCATTGCATATTCGATATATCACGGAGCCTTTTGTGATGCACACAGATGCTTCAGGTTATGCAATCGGTGCGGCCCTACTTAAAGCAGGGTTCTTCAGCCAGGTCATGTACTCAACTCAGCCCAACTATCCAAAATAGGATCAAGAACATTTGGCATATATTACTGCTATGCGCAAGTGGTCTCACTTGCTGCGTTGCGCAGATTACCTGCAGATGCAGGTCCACACGCCCTCACCACTTGGAGCTGTTGTTTCAACACACTTGCAAGAACGCACAGCTCGGCAGTTGGACTCCCCCGTGCTCTTATTTACCGGGTGCGGTAACTCAGGTGGAAAGGGCACTATCTCTTCGCCCTTCTTATTCTATCTCCCGCCAGCTAACCACAAGCACTGAGCCAACGACGCACATACACAGGTCACCAGATTTGTTTGTTACCAAAAGGAAATACAGTGCTCGCCCACAATGCTAAGGCAGAAGCATGAGGAGATCACAAGTGAATAAAACCGTCTTCAATGTCGAAACCGGCATACGAGAATGTGTGCTAATTGTGCGGCTTGGGCGACAGGTGTTGCATGCTACTTGCGATGTTGGCAAGTCTGTTCAAACTTCGCGCATGAACCCACACCTGGCCCTAATGGACATACGGTACACAAGCAAAATTTCTGAAAACAGCCTGAAGACTTCATATATCCGCCCTCATACTGTGTTTGTATGTCGGGCTGTCTTTAAGCGTGCGTTGCAGCAAGGTTTACTACCACGCGTGGCAAGCCACCTTCTTTTTGACCGCTGAGCTCAGTTCACTTGGAGAGGGGAGAAGAAAATCAACTGTTTTAAGGAGGCCTCACATGAGTGTTTTGGGTCCCTTGGAATTTATAATGGTCCTCGTGGCACACCCAGGACACAGGTTGCAGAGCTCTCCCTGCACGGCATCGCCAGATGCAAGAGTACCCAAGTCTTCCTTTGAAACCTGAGCTAACACTGCATACAACTTCTGAACGCTCCCTTGCCAATCGGTAGCCAGCGAGCGCTCCGGTAAAAATACATGTGTCAAACCAAGCAACAAGAACAGTCGTCGACGCACGCTTTTGCAGTGATTGATGCCCATTTGCAGCGTTAAATGTGATGTACACCTCGGGATAAGCTCGATATTTTACTGTACAGGGGAGGTATAATGTGCTGTTGTAGCTGAACGGCTTTAGTAGGCTCTGACATTCAAATTAAGAAACCTGCGGCCCACATGTCTCGCGGTGTTGATCCAGAGTGCACTGTGCACAGCGTCAAACAGGAAGGTGTACTCACCAGTTTTAAAACGAATTTCTCACTTCAATTGTCGCCTTTCTCGAAAATTGCCTGCTTTTACTGCAAGCGTTGCCTTTGACGATCGCAGGGCTGCTGCAGCCCGGCGATCCGCATGTTCGTAAATGTGTGGCTTGCGCGCGGCGGGGGCGTCGGTTTGCCCGAAGAAACTTCAGTGTTTGTCATCCGATAAATTCCTCGGCGAAGGCCGTTATTCCTTCTTTCTTTTGATTCCGTGTTGATCTGTTTCTCTTCTTCATGTAGTTTCTGTTGATCTCTTCGTTGCGCCGACCAGAAGCTACAGCAGCGCCACAACCCGGGCTGAAGTGCGAATTCCACAGTTTATTTGCAGAAACATCTCAAGCATGACTTCGAAGTACAGTAATTCCCGGGTCTCGTAGTCCACCGCAAGCCGCTTTCCCTAGTAAAACATCTCATCACGGCCCTCCCTCGTCGTCGGCGGCGCCCACCTGCTTCTCAACCCTCTTTTCCCGGCAGATTAGTAGTGGATTTCGGCAATTTTGGACCTAAAGCAATCAACAGGCAACGGATTGGACGCCTAATCGCATTTATTCAAACAGTACTTCGACTACTTGCTCGCGCAGTCGGCAGGCGCCTACGGGAGGCGGTTGAATTGTCGGCGTATATATTATCTGTTAGTAGTATAGGCAGAGAGAAGTTTGGCCCTGAGTTTGAAGAGGTGGAGGTGGCGGATATAGGGGCTTTTACACCCTTTTCGCGGTCCAGATCGAGAGGATGCCGCCACCGCCGTTGCTGCAGAGTTGGTCGTTTCTCCACGACATATTGAACTATTCGACAGCGATTTTTTGGCTGCTTGCCTACGTTGCAGTTTTACAGAAAGTTCACAAGGAAAGAAATGCTTGCGGGCTCTCTTTTCAGACGCTTTTCGCGTTGGTGTTGGTGGAGGTCAGCAACGTGTTGCTGATTCTCAGTTTGCTGTCGTACCACAACAAGCCGCTGAACGCAGATTTCTTCCTTGTGGACTGCACATCTGCAGTTATTTCGATTTGTGCTTTTGTGTATTTGTTTCGCAATTTCCGCCAGACGTATGAAAAACAGCGCGATACGTTTGGCCAGAAGTATCTGCGTCTGTTGAAAGTGCCTACGGCCTGCGGACCGCATACCCATCTCTGTTTCCTTTACATTCTCTCCTTTATTCTCTCATTCACAATGTTCATTTTGCGCCGGTCTCCTCATGCCCCTTCGATAGGCGATGTTGCGCGCTACGGAAACGGCCGCTTGGTTACGGGCATGTTACTGTCTTTCTGGGAGTGCTTCAATGACAGCGTCTTAGCCCTAGCCTTGCTGCCGCAGCTGCAAATGTTCTACAGCAGAAGGCCGCGAAAAGTCACAAATCTTTTGGGCACTTTCGTCGCAATGCTCTTCTGTGCAAGGACTCTGGCGTTCATTTACTGGTGTGTCCACATGCTACTTCGCATTCGATTTTTCTCCAATGAATACTCTGTACTTCTGTTGATTTGCTGTATTCTATCTTTTTAGTGTTATTTGTCCTTCCTCTGGATCCGGTTGATGCGTGAGAGGTCTACGCTGGAAACACAAGTGATGTCGGATGGCTTACTTCTGATGAAGAGGTTGCCTTCGGCCTGATGCCCAGTGCCTATCTGCACCCTAGTGTATGAGTTGCTGTTTTGTTTTTGTTCCCACCTGCTGCTGTTTACAGGCTGTCGTTCCCTCTTTTCCACAGGAGTCAGCCAACGGGTCGTGGCATTCACCTGGCTACTGAGGCTCTTAACATTTTGATTTTGTTGGATTTCCTCTATTATTACGTCAGGGCGAAACTATCTGGCCAAGAAGACATCGCCTTACCGATTTAAAACGCCGCTTGAGAGCTCTCAGTGCTGTAATTGGCGCAGCTAGGCCGTGTGTGGGCGTGGCCTACAACAGCTGCTCGCAGATGCATACTTGCAAACTACCTGCGAGTTTATTACCATTATTACTATTGTTACTATTCGTGAAACAAAAAGCTGCAAAAACCCTGTAGCTGATGGCTTCACTCGGCTTGATGGCACGGCAATGGCGCAAGCCATCAATAAGTGCAGAGGAGGAGCAACGAAAAGAATTAAAATATTCTGTCGTCCGATGAACTCACAGACCCTGAGATTTTTGTTCACACTTCATTCCCATCGAACTGTAGGAGCAGCCGACGCCTTAGCGCACATGCGGGAGTGAGCAGCAGGCACAGGAGCGTATCTAAATGTACTAACTGTAAAGATAGCTGGGGCGGGAGCCCGGGAAGGGGAAGGGGGGGGTTAAAGGGGGTTGCCTTTAAAATTTCAAAATAGCTTGGGGGGAAATGCGGCACTGTAGGACGGGTACGGGGAGGAACTGTTTACTGGTCAACCGGCTATACACTGGGGGAGACGGTTGGTTGAGTGCCTCTTTTGCAACTTCCAGGAGGCAATAGGCCCCATGCATGAACTCATTATATTTTCAAGGCAAATAATCTATTTGCCGGGTGAAAGAGGGTAGAGCGGCGGGTCCCTGCCTGAGCTCAACGAGACACAAACGCGCCTGTCGCCCTCGCCCAGCGCCGAGACGTAACACCGAGCATTTAAGAACAAGTGGAAATACAATTGGCATAATAACGAACGAAAAACAGGTACAATTTTTCTAACGCGTTTTTCTGCATATCTGTACCGAATGTTAACATTACGCCTGCACCGTATTGCATGCGGCCGCTACACGCAAATAGGGCTGCATACTGTCTGCATCAAAGCTAGCCGTCTTTTTAAATTGTGCATGCTTCGGTTTTTCCTGCCTTTGTTAGGTGGATTGCTTCACTGGAAAGGCCTAACTTCTTTCCTCTCTCTCTCTGCAGTTTCAGAGCCGCCCGCCTCAATGGCGGCACTGGCCAAAATGACGAAGTTAACTTTTAGCACGTTCAGCCCTATGCGGCCTTTGCTTTTTCTGTGTTTTAATTATTTTCTGGCTTTGGTGTCCTCCACCTATGCTCTGGTGCCGGGAATGGGCCCCACGGTAACCAATGCACGACGCACACTGTAACTGAAGCAGCCAGCCTTTACCACTGCAGTCATTATCTTTCTACTGAACAAACATCGCTTACACGCTTGATTTGGTGGCAAAAGAATCTTCTGTGTGCATACAGCTGAACTGCTGAACTGCGGACAGACTATCAGCGGGACTGCCTGCTGCTGCCTGCTGCATGCATCTTTACTGTCAACAAGCGTTCGCGTAAACTCATCTCAACGCATCTCTTCATTGTATGTGTCGGTTGGTGTGTGTGTAATAGGACTATACCGTCGGCCAACAGATTCCTGTTCAAGTTGCTTCGCTGCAGTCGGTGCAGGGCATTCTCCCTGTCGACCCATACGGGCCAAACCTCCCTTTCTGCCGGTGAGAAAAGCAAGCAAGATGCATTATGTAAGCATGCATTCGTCTAAGAGTATATGTATTCAGTGTTTATGCTGCATCTTTATACACTGTATATTTTGCACACTGTTTTACATTCTTGGTCGAACACACCTGGGTATAATACAGCAGGCATTTCCCGTTTGATGCCGTTGTACTTCGTCATTCTGCCTCTATTTGCTCGCAGTCCTGCGACGACAGAAATTGAAGAAAACAATTTAGGCCAAATGTTGATGGCGGATCGTGTGCAAAATTCTCCTTACGAGGTGCGGCCAAATTCTGGTGTAGAGGCTGGCAGTTGAGCTCATGCGCGAAAGCTGAAGTTTTTACTTGAACTCCTGCTTGCCTTTTTGACGTGTACGTACAGATTGAATTCATGAAAAACGCTTCCTGCAAAACTCTTTGCAAGAATGTGCCCTTGACAGACGAGGTTAAGGGACAGGTGCAGCGCCTCGTGCGCGACAAGTATATGTTTCAGATGTAAGACCCCTTCGTCTTCTCCTGGCAGAAACTAAAGCATTTAGTATAGGTGCTACCTCCTGCAGTCTATGTAAAGCTGCTGCAATGTATGTACGGCTGCATTCTTCTGCATGCATCGCATTGTGTGAATGTTTGGGTAGTGCTTTGACTTGAAGTCTCGCTTCTGCATTGCAGATATTCCTACACATCTATCTACTCACATGCATGTTTGTTACATTTGTGTATATGATATTTCAGGATAGTTGACCAGCTGTACGCGCTGCAGTTGGTCCAGCGGGTGAACGGGTCCAGTGGTTACACCATTGGTGTGCCTGTGGGTTTTGAGCGCGACGGGCGCATTTTCGTCTTCAACCACTATAGAATTATTGTGCATTATCACAGCAACGCTCAAGACAAACAGACCTCTTCGGTGAGCTTCAAAATACTCGCGTAGAGAGCTTGCAGCTCCTTGACCTGCTGCAGAAGGAATACAGCTATGCCATTTACGAGCTGGGCGAATACCGTACTATCTAGACGAATGCGTTGCTAGCAGCAGTGGCCACCTGGCTATTTGTATAACTGTGTAGCTGGCTTCGGATGAGTCGTTGACTTGCTGTGCGTATGTGGTTTAGGGCTTGTTCAAGTTGCCTTGGGATTCGAGCTCTGCGCAATACCGCATTGTACGTCTGGAGGTGGTTCCGATGTCTGTACAGCACGAGATTGATTCTTCTGATCGTCTGACCTGCGGGATGCCTCCTGTAGACCAGTTGCAAGAAGAGGGCGCTGGGAGTTCGATGCACACACCGTTTGCAGCCTTGCCACCCTTCAGCTTCCGCGCAGACGACGCGGCTGAACCAGAAAATGCCAGCGAGACGGGGGTCGAGGATCCGCAATCTTTGAATTTTTCCTATGACGTGGTTTTCCAACCAAGTCCCGTACTCTGGAGCGAACGATGGGACATTTACCTCGCGAATGCGCGCGACAGGCCACTCATTCACTGGTTTTCGATTGTGAATTCGTTGGTGGTACTGCTGCTCTTGTCTGCGTTGGTCGCGATGATTCTGCTGCGCGTGTTGTACAGAGACATAAGCAGATATAATGACCTCCTTGCAGATGAAGAGGACGCAGAAGAAAAAGGGTGGAAACTCCTTCATGGAGACGTTTTCAGAAAACCCGCACATTCAACTGTTCTTGCGGCGCTGACGGGATCGGGCATGCAGGTGGGCGGTGAAAGCAGCAGTATGTTATGGCTGCGCCAACCTTGATTAGTAACGCAGGCCAATGTCAATCTGTGCATCAAACAGATTATCTGCTGATGCGCTGGACGCTGCAGCTAGTCGGCATGGCATTCGTCACCGTCATTTTTGCCGGCCTTGGCGTTTTCTCGCCGGCGTTTCGGGGGAGTTTGTTGCAGGTGCGTAATGCAGGTGCCTGTAAAGATGAAATCGGGAATTGCTTGTTCGTTTCCACCTTATTTTTGCTCTGCTCATCTAAGTGCCTTCGTTCATCCCGAAGAGGAGCGGAATGCTGCGCCTGCAGACGGTACTGGTCCTCTGGACTGTCATGGGAGCTGTTGCGGGATACACCTCAGCACGGATGTACAAATTGTTTAAGGTCGGTAACTTGAAGCTTGTTGTTGCCAAGCACTGGCGTGCTTGCAACAGCAGCCTGCAGGAGAAGGGCAGTTTCCTAACGCATGTTGGTGCTGTTTGTGGCCTGTCGAGTGGGACATTCTATACACAAGCATACAACAGAAATAGTACACATTCTTTTCCCTCAATTATGCATTTCCCTTTATGCTTCTGTGTGCAGTCAGTGAACTGGAAGATGACGACCATCCGCACGGCTCTTGTGTTCCCAGGCGTTGTTTTTTCGGTCTTCTTTCTTATGAACGTCGTCCTCTGGTCACAACGGTCTTCCGCAGCTGTCAGCTTCACAGGGCTGTTAGCACTGCTCGCGCTTTGGTTCGGCATCAGCATTCCGTTGGTGTTCGCGGTGCGTATGCATTTAGAAAGAGTTAAACTAATCAAATTAGGGTATTGCAGAAGCATTAGTAACTGTATTTTTGGCGAGACGACGCCAACACACTTTGCAGCGTGCAAGGCCAAAAACTGGATTCGAACGCAACGCATCAGCTTCTAGCTTCTACTAGCTCACACGCATATGTAAACATTGTTAATCGTGTTTATCTATGTTTTTGTTTGGACCCGTTAGTTCATGCCGGGTTGCGGCCTGCGTGCATGCATGCATGGGGCAATTGCGTGTTTATGTGTGTGTGTGTATGTGTGTGTGTGTGTGTGTGTGTGTGTGTGTGTGTGTGTGTGTGTGTGTGTGTGTGTGTGTGTGTGTGGGGCTGTCTGTTTGTCTGTCTGTCTGTCTGTCTGGCTGACTGGCTCTCAGGGCGCGTACTATGGCTTCAAACAACCAGCGATCTCTATCCCCGTCCGTATCAACAAAATTCCACGACAAGTGCCGCAGCAACCGTGGTTTATGCATCCTGCGTTGTGTTCATTGGTTGGGGGAGCGTTGCCCTTCGGGTGAGCTGAGCTGCATAATGCCACCAGGTCTGGAGTCAATGGGCACTCCGAGCTAACTACTTGTACTGCAGTATCCAGATATAAAAGTGTCGTCACATCTGTTGCTGCTTCAGGGCGATGCTCACCGAGCTATTCTTTCTCTTCTCCTGCATTTGGCAGCATCGCTTCTACTACCTCTTCGGTAGGGGGCTAGAACATCATACACCATTGCACACACAAACACACCGAGGGAGGACACCCCCCTGCATTTGTGCACGCTTTGCCGCACACCTTTATCTTTGTGGAGAATGGCCGCTTCATACTAAACACAAGTATATATTCCAACTTACATATGGCCCATGCCCATATATACAGAAGAGATCACTATATATGTGCAGGAGGCATAAGATATACTCTGCATGTATGTGTGGTTGTTTCCCTGCTGCTGTTTATTGTGTTGCGTCTCGTTTTCAGGTTTTTTGTTTTTGGTGTTAATAATCTTGTGTGTTACATGCGCGGAGATTTCGATAACTTTTGTTTATTTCCAGCTCGTTTGGTGAGTGTCCTGATACGTCTTTATTTGGTGTTGATTTGATAGTTGGTTTGTTTTCTGAGTATCGTTTATTTGCAACTGTGCACCCTATGATAGGCGTGTTCTTTTTGCTTGCTATTTCGTGCTGTCCTACCGCAGCGAAGATTACAACTGGTGGTGGCGTTCCTTCCTTTGTAGCGCCACCAGCGGGGTGTATGTGATGCTGTACGCGGTGTATTATTACAACTCGCGTCTCAGTCTGTCGCACACAACAGGGGCGCTGGTTTACTTCGGGTACTCCTTCATCATGGCGTATGGATGCTTCATCCTCACCGGTCTGCCCTTCCACAGACAATGCCAAAACATAGATACACTTCGTACTCTGAGTCATTAATCCTAGACTCGTAAATTTGTAGCCGAAGCATTTAGCCCTAATCACTAGTATGTATGTTTACGTGAAAGTCAAAGAGCCGAACCCTACCAACACCTGGGAACCTGTAATCATCGGCCCAGTTCTAACTCGAAACCCAAAAGCTTAGTTCGACGAGTGTACGTTGAGCACCCTTGGGATCTGAACCTGTCCGCGAGTATGCTGTATTTGGCTACAGGCGCCGTGGGCTTCATGGCCTCTTTCTTCTTCTTGCGGAAGATATACTCATCAATCAAGGTTGATTGATAAGCAGCCCAGAACAGCATTAACTACTTCAGCTTTACAGCAATATCAATAACAACAGCACCACCAACAACCGCAGCAACAAGAGCAATAAAGGTCAAAAGCAGAACAAATGCGCATCCCGGATCCCCCTTTAGCATTATTTGCTGTCTGCAAGGGCAGCGTGCCCAAGCGCTGGAGGCAACTTCTTACAACAACCAATCCAAAATGGAACAGCAGACGATGCAACAACCAACTACAAAACACAGTCTAGCCGCCAACTTCGTCTTCCGTATGGGCTAAATGCAGGCGTATCGGCCTTCTCTCTTTGGTCATGTGAGGGACGTTTATATATATATTATATATATATATATAT